TGTAGACATTTCCAAACACCAAAGCTGAAATAACTGCAGAACGAACACCTAGCTATCTACTACCTAAATTCTATACTATCAGTCGTGTGCTTCATCTCATTTTCTGATGCGTTCATTACGGGCCTCGGTATTCGTCCCTCAACACTCCAACCATCATTAACTGGAGTTCAGCATTAGTTTACGGTTCTCTTAATGGCGTGGCATTAATAGACAGTACAGTGTACAACTCTTAAGTGTACCACGTTCTGCACTTTGACAAATGTATAAACTGAATCCCTCTAGACGAGCATTGCCACCACCGCCTCTCAGGCCCTCTCCCGGCAGTCTCCACCAGACTCGGCTCTGAGCTAGTTCACCCTAGATTAGTTTCGCCTGTTCTAGAAGTCCATGTCAATGCAACCACCTTGAGGAAAATGGCCGAGACCACATCTGCCCTCCTCTGGCTTCACAAGGGAGGAGAATCCCACTCCTCAGCAGCCCAAGGCAGAGGTCAGACATGACCTTCCATCCTTCTGGACTCGTTCGGTTTTTACTGTTCCTCTCAGGGCACTCGACTCTGCTGGGCGGTAACTCATTGCAATGGCTACACACAACTCAGAAAATATTCACAATGATGGGTGTTTATTAGGGATGCTAACAGGTGGTCACAGGTCAGGATCATAAAACATTAAGGATACCGTCACTGGTCCACAGAAACACCTGTCCTCAGCCTTGTGGTCCCCTGGCCTCTGCCTCTGTGGATCAGGAAGCCAGTGCACTTCTCTGCCTCACAGTCTCAGTCTCGGGGCTGTTCCTCTGCTGTCTCGTGTTCTTCTTTTTCAGCCTCTGGTTTCAGCACACCGTTGATAGCTCTTCTCCCAGGATGGTCCCAGGAATTCCCTCTTCTGGTCTCTGGGATGCTCATTCTCATAGCCAGGGAAATGGATGAAGTGACCAATCTCATCTTTTTGTGTTCACACACCCTCTTTGCGTAGTCCCACCCAAGCTTCTGGGGGGGAAGTACAGAGCCATAGATAGAAGAC